AGGGAGGATGCTAGCTCCTCAAGGGGGTGGATTGTAAGGTCTCACATAGGTTGAAGAAGAGAACAAAACATCCCTTATAAGGGTGTGAGAACCTCTCCCTAGTAGACGCGTTTTAAAACCTTGAGGAGAAGCCCTTTAAGGGAAAGCCCAAAGAGGACAATATCTGCTAATAGTAAGCTTAAGCTGTTACAAATGGTATCAGAGCCAGAAACCAGGCGGTGTGCCAGAGAGGACGCTAGCCCTCAAGGGGGTGAATTGTAAGGTCTCACATCAATTGGAGAGGAGAACGAAACATTTTTTATAGGGGCATGGAAACCTCCCTAGTAGCACGTTTTAAAACCTTGAGGAGAAGCCCTTTAAGGAAAAGTCCAAAGAGAACAATATCAACTAGCGAATGATGCTATGGAACACAATCATATCTATACTACACCGATACCGTAACAAGTACTAAACAATCAGTCTTCAAACAAAGAAGTGAATATATCCTTACAGTTGAGATGTGATGTTCAACTACGCCCTCTCCATGTGAGGACTCTGAATCTGCTGGTCTTTTCGATTTTGGGCTGAAAATTTTCGTAAGCGACTTCGACCTGGATATTCTAGGCCTCTGATATGCAACAGCACGAGACACGTTCAACGACATGATCGGAGACATCCCAACATCTGGCCTTAAATTTTCATATTGTGAATTCATGTTTGAAGCAATGCCTTTAGAGTCTGAGTTACTTTTGGATTTGGGAGAATGGTTTGGAATTTGGGGAAATTTGGATGTCCCAGAATGTTCATCAGTGTTCATAGCTGCAAGAGATGGAACCTCAATAGCAAGTTTATCAAATTTCAGGTGTAAATTAGGGCAGAGTTCTTCAGTTTGAAGCGGAAAATCAAAATGGAACTGTTTTAGACTTAGGAAATACACATAGAACTCAGAACTTCATAAACTTGAACTCAAAAAAGAATCAAAACAACCAAATATATCACAGAACAATCAGAATCAATCAGTTTGATTGGTATGAACACTCAACAAACACATAAAAACTAACTCAAATGAACAAACAAATTCAACCAAGAACCAAAAAACTCAATAAATCTTGATTTCAAACAAAACCCAGATGAAATTTGTTCATATAAACCGAAAAATTTGTAAGTACCTTGAGATATGGAGCCTCCACCGTCTTGTTCAGCAAGATTTTGGTCCTGAGTAGCCATTTCTCATGGAAGAACTTTCTTAAATGACCATTGGCATTCCTATGATTGTTTGGGGGGCTGAATTTGTGAGCTCTTACAGGTGTTTGACATGGATACTTCTATCCATTTTCCGTTCATGACCCGCAAGATTAAATTAATTTAAGAAGGCAAAAAATTGAGTTAACAAAAAATAAAATTAATTAATTAATTATTGGGTAACACTTATGATTACCTCAATTATGTAATCACTTATTGATAACACGACATTTGGTTATATTATATTATATTTAAGGTTGAGAATTTTATATGATGTTGTATGTGAAGATAATTAATAGTTTTATCGGATAATATTCATCTTTTAGTTGACATTTTCTTTCATATGGGTGCGTATGGTTCTTTTGACTAGTTTAACTGATTATTGATCGTGGTTGATTGAGAAGGTTCACGTAACTGCGAGACGATTAGGTTTGTCCATATTGCTACAGTGCCCAGATCCCTACAACTAGAGGACAATCAAATCCGCTACATCCACCCATAACCCTAATACTTATTCGACTTTAGACTAGTTTTACATTACATAATATCCATGGGAGAGTTCGAATGAAGAACCCAAATCCCAATCTACGACTGAATAGCAACGGTTTGTGTTTATATATATACACAACAATATTCTTTTTCCTGATTTTTTTTTTCTCTAAGGGGTGACTATTCTATTTTTAAAAAATCAGCCAATCAATTTGTGACACATCCTTATCTCTAACCTCAAATATAATTGACTTTTTTAATTTTTTTTTTTTAAAAGGCAAGACGATTATTTTAATTTCATAATTGGATGATGTCATGTATTTGTATTTATGATGTCATAATTAATCATTTTTTTTATTTACTTCCTGAATTGTCGTCTAAACTTGTCTACTACACAGACAAACAAGGAATAGGCCCATTAAGATCAGAGTTTGGCCCATGAATTCGGCCCATTTTAATATGGATGCCCTGATATTGGGCTTTTGGCCCATACACTTAAGTTTATCAAGTGTAAAGCCAAAAAATAATATATATAAATTACTTGAGATCGGTCTTGCACTACTACTGCCCCCCTTTAAATTACTTTAAAGCCCTTTAACGGCCAATAATTGAGGGCCCACAGTCCTCTAATCTCAAATCTGGACCATTCATTACTTGACACGTGACTAATCATTCGCGCCACGTAATACCCGGAGTTAGCTACATTTTCAGCGATCTAACAGAATTAATAATAGTCCCACTCGTTTTAGATCTACTTCCATTCACATTCTTCTTTCTTCTTCTTCTTCACTGGAAACCCTAGCTCCGATTCTGAAACTTGATCTCCATTTTCAGTTTGAGTTAGGGTTTTGGAGGTTTCTGTGCTGTGGAGGGCGATTTTTCGAAGAATGTGATGTAGGTTTTTGAAGTCTGATGGTGACTTGGGACGGGAGAATTCGAAGGATGAGGATTCCGAAGAGGGTCTGGTTAATTATGCAAAAATCTATGGGGCTCCTCGTGGGTGGAAATCACACATCCTCCAGGTTTTGTACTCGCTAATGTTGTTTTGGTTTCTCAATTTGGATTTGTTTCTTCTGTGGTGTTGTTTTGAGGAATTATAAATTGTTCCTGTTTTGTGTTCGTCTTTGACGACGGTAAACGAACGAACTCTGAGCGGGTTGTGAGTGGCGATTGGAGAAATGAGTTTGAAAGGTGTGAAATGGCAGATTGTTCATGGGGCATTGGCGAGGCGAGCTATTGTTCGAACTTTTCTTTTCGCCTTAGCTGTTTCGGCTGTTCCTTTGTTGCATATTTTGACCGGTGCTAATTTTGGGGTGATTCCGTCTGTGATCTTTCGCGATTGTGCTGTGAAGTGTGATTATGTGAATTCGAATGCGAAAGATTCTCGAGGATCGTACTTGTTTCAGGGTCACTTCCTGAATCCGGTTTGGGTGCCATTTGTAGGGATGCACTGTGAGGAACATATGAATTTAACGACCAATGTCGCTATTGAGTTAATGGAGAAGAAACTGTTGAATCACAGTGTGAAATCTCTCTGCGTTGGAGAGGAATCGAGCTCCGCCGTCTTGGCATTGAGGGATATGGGATTCAATGACGTTATGGGTGTTGGTCAACGCCCATTTTTCTCGCTTAGGAGAAAGCAATTTGTTTACAAATTGGACTTAATGGATCGATCCTTTGATTTCGTTTTCTCTAGAGATCTAGACAGGCATTCAGCCCCTGCACTTTTGGTGCTCGAGATCGAGCGTGTGCTTAGACCTGGTGGAATTGGGGCTGTTATTGTGGGTGCTACTGGTTCATTGCCCAATAATTTGATAAGAGCTGCAACCCCAGTGTCATCTTTGCTGAAAACTTCCAGTGTGATGCATGTTCGTCATGTTAATAACTTAATTCTGGTTGTATTCAAGAAGAAACTCGAAGATTTTGGGCATTTGGAGCCTCGCATTTCGTCTGAATGTCGGTCTCTCACAAGGAACAAACCTTTAATTCCTGAAATGGAGCCTCTCGTGAAGGTAAAACCAGTGGGATTTGACAAAAAGGTGTCCTATTTGCCAAAGCTTGTAGATGCTTCTAATTGGGAAAAGTTGGCGTATGTCAATATTGGTACAGGGAAGCGCCTGAATTACACCATCACAGATTGGTTTCCACCTTCTTATCCCATGGATCGTAGAGATTTTAACGTTTATTTTGTTGATCATGACATGTCTGCTCTCGCCACCCATATCCACAAGCCTGGAATCACATTTGTTTATCATCCTGGCCTAGCTGGAACTGATCAAGCTACCGATAACGACGATGATACCAACAATGAAGATGAAGAACCATATGTTGATAGCAATGATTTTGATTTTCTCTCTTGGTTCAAGGAAACTGTGCAGCATTCCGATTTTGTTGTCTTGAAAATGGATGCAGGGAAGGAGGAACTGAAGTTTCTATCGGATTTGTTTGAAAGTGGAGTCATTTGCAGGGTGGATGAACTGTTTCTGAGCTGCAGAGATGGGGTTGATGAAGACGGGGAGATGAAGAGAGACTGTATGGATCTGTTCAAGGATTTGAGGAACAGCGGTGTCTATGTTCATCAATGGTTTCTAGATGCTCCTTCCTCCATGAAACTCTGAAATCATATCTTGTCTGGTTGGTTTGATGGGTAAGAAAATTTATGAGTTGCTGTGTGGTTGAGCACTCTATTAGCACTAAATAAGCAACCACTTTGTTTGTTTCTCCTGTTTTATTTATCAAGTACTGAACTTATGAACTGCATCTGCATGGTTTTTTGTTAGAATAAAGGACGCCTTTGTGTTTGCTTTAGCCTTTTTTAAAGTATGATTATGATGTTTTGACTTTTGTTTTTATATCATAATGTTAATCATAATGTTAACGTGTTGCTTCGACAGTGGAGAGTTGTAGCACTTTTAGTATATGATGTGACATATATTATAATGTTCGAAAATATTATTAAACGAAATATATAAACTTTTAATCCACCCATGATAGATGCTTTGCTTTCATGAAAATATTATTAAAATTTTGATTAAAAAATTCAAAAGCTGTCTTAAAATGATGAAGAATAAAGCAAAAAGAAAAAAGTAGATGTATAAATTTAATATTGGTTAAATTAAATGTTTAGTATCCAATCATCTATTATTAATGTTACTTACTCCAACACAACAAGACAACCTTAAACAAACCAAACTCAAATGGATTTCAGAATTTGAAAGATAATAGGTATTTGCTGTCATGTCTGCACACATCTTACGATCAAATACTAAGCTATAATTAGAACGAGAAACGAATCTCAAATACTCAACTAGTTAGATCGAGAAACGATCTAAAATACTTTGCTAGTTAGAACAAGAAGAAAAAACGAACATCAGTTGCCTCCGAATCAAATTTTGATCAGACAAATGGCGAGAATTCGGAGGCAACAAAGCAAGGCTCAGCTGAAGTATATAATAGATAAAAATTGTAATTACACTTTTGGGCATGAGAACAGAAGCACAACTGATACCAATTTCTTTCCTTTTCTTCCTTCTTCTTCTTCTTCTTCTTCTTCTTCTTCCTTGGCATAAAAAGCTTCCCTTCTTGATTATTTAGAACAGCAGGTAGAAAATTCAGGGGGAGAAAAGAGAATAAATTCAGATAATACAAGAAGAAATTCAACAAGCACAGCGCTGTACAGAGTTCTCTTATGATCATAATGATAGTGTACCATTCCTTATTCTTCTGCCCCATTGTTGACCCTTATCTCTAAGAGCCTATCGACCGGTTGTCTGCAAATCGGGCATCGATTCGTCTGGAACCTCAAAACCTTAGCACAACCGCTACACATACACTGCCAACCACAACAGAAACAAGTTAATGCAAATCAAGAATTCTCTGTAGTAAGCACAGATAAACGCACGAGAGATGGATTTCGTAGGCATAAAAGATCGTGAAAACGAAACATTTTGCAGAGAGAAGGGTTGTTCTTGTTACCATGTGTCGGCAGGGAAGGACAGTCGTATCCCGTGGTTCGGACAAGCAAATGACACATTCCTTTCCAGGGTCGTTTCCATCGACATCGTCCTCGACTGAATTTCCAATTCCATAGATCTCCTGCAGCTCATATCTCATACCATTGACCCACAGGATTTGCTTCAACACTTTTACCTGATATTCACCTTTATCTTTCTCAAACACTGCCTGTGTTATCTGAGAATTCATGGTCTCAGGTACCACGGTACCATCGGGACCAGTTTGGCCTTCGGTAGAAGCCTCGGCTTTCACAGCTAGTGGATAGACATCTGTGTCATTTACTTTCACTAACTCCGACTCTTCGAACTTTGAGAAATCTATTCCTGTTCCACAAGGTTGTCTGTACTTCTGTCCGAGGCCTTGTTCGAAACGGACAGTCACTGGTTGAAAAGTGTCTTCTTTTACGGGCGTCAAGTTACAATCTTCGCCTTCTTTCGCAAAGAAGAAGATGGTGATACTGTTTCAAGACAAAAGAAAACCAAATTCTCAGGCTAGCAGAAACCCAGATCAAATCTCTGATTAAAGAAGCAGAGAAATCTAGATGAATAAGCATCATAACAGAAAGACCCTCTAAAGAACGTTAATACCTCTTACAAAAGAGACTATGACTCTATGAAAATGTATCGCTGTGATGGCAATAGTTAAAAAAAAATAACTCCAGCCCAAACTCACTGCTAGCAGATATTGTACGTTTAGGCCCATTACGTATCACCGTCAGCCTCACAGTTTTAAAACGCGTCTACTAGGGAGAGTTCCACACTCTTATAAGGAATGTTTTGTTCCACTCTCCAACGGATGTGGGATCTCACAATCCACCCCCCTTAGGGGCCAGCGTCCTCACTGGCACAGTGCCCGGTGTCTGCTTCTAATACCATTTGTAACAGCCAAAGTCCACCGCTAGCAAATATTGTCGACTTTGGCTTGTTGCGTATCGCCGTCAGTCTCACGGTTTACAAACGCGTCTACTAGGGAGAGGCTTCCATACCTTTATAAGAAATACTTTGTTCCCCTCTCAAACTAATGTAGGATCTCACAATCCACCCCCCTTGGAAGCCCAGCGTCCTCGCTGGCACACCGCCCGGTGTGTGGCTTTGATACCACTTGTAACATCTCAAGCCCACTACTAACAATCCACTTTGGCTCATTAAGCATTGTCGTCAACCTCACGGTTTTAAAACGCGTCTACTAGGGAGAGTTTCCACACCCTTACAAGAAATGTTTCGTTTCCTTCACCCACCCCTTGGGGGCCAGCATCCTCGTTGGCACACCGCCCGGTGTCTAACTCTAATACTATTTGTAACATCCCAAGCTCACCACTAGCAAATATTGTCCACTTTGACCCATTACGTATCACCATCAACCTCACGGTTTAAAAACGCATCTACTAGGGGAGAAGTTTCCACACTAAGGAATGCTTCGTTACCCTCTCCAACCAATGTGGAATCTCTAAAGAATGTTAATACCTCTAACAAAAGAGACTATGCCTCTACAAAAACGTATCGATACTCGAAATACTTGTCTGTGATGGCAATAGTTACCAAAAACAACACCAATTCATTGCCTTCTGTTCAAAATATAACAGTAGAATGTCATTCAAGAACAACATGGGCTCAAGTGGTTCATCACCACTTTCATCTTTAAGACTTGAAACAGCCCTCAAAGATCACTCAATCCATCAATGATTTAGAGTCTGTATTCAAAAAGTTATGAGGAATTCAAAAATTTGTAGTATATTTAGTGATGCCCAGTTTTACATTCTTATGGTTTTGTCAATGTAAAGAAAAATGTCCTCCTCGCCTCTCAAAACAAGGCCTTCAAACTACTTTAAGCCTTTTCCAGAATTGCAAATGATTGAAACTAGTAAGCAGCAAAATCAAAGAACAATAAACTAACAATCATAGATACAGAACAAAAGCTCCAAAGATTAGAAAGATACCTCCCGGCGACGGTGGCATCGAACAAGAAAGATACAAGGAATTGGCCGGGGTTTTCTTCGTCGGGCTCAACCCTAAGAGTTTCTTTCTTGAGATTAACATCATTTCGAATGGTAACCGCCTTCTGATGCTCAACATAAGGCGTTTGGGGCGGCATAGGAGGACCGTAAGGATATCTCCCACCGACCCAATGCGCAGGATCCATATGGGGATGGGCAGCGCGGTGTTGATGGTCGTAAGACGCCGGCAAGGGCATCGGCATCGACGGAGGTGGACCAGGTGGCGGCGGAAAGTAACCAGGGTACTGATAGTACGGCGGCGCTTGATTCGGATGATTAGTGTATTGCGATGGGTACGGCGTTGCAGCGGCGAAAACGAACCGATTACTTGTGATTTCGGGCTGTGGCGGCGGAGGTGGAGGTGGAGTCGGATGGCCCCGACGGGAATCGTGTCGTCTCCGGCCATGGGAACCACTACTCCCAATGTTACCCATGGAAATTGAGATTTGTTCGCAGAAAAGACAAATCTGATGAACCCAAATCGGAAAAACAAAAACCCAGATGGATTAAAGAGGCGTGAAGAAGAAGAGGTCCGTTGGAAGCTCAGAAAAGGCCAGAGAGGAGGGGAAGAGGATGGAAGGAGATATAGAAAAGAAGGGAATGGAAGGGGGCGGAGGTTTTGGATGGGGAAGGACAGAGGAAACAGCTAAAACAATTGGGAAAAGGGGAAAGGAACAGAGGAGAGGAGAGAGAAAGGGAATGGAGATTTGGTGGCGGGTATAATGGGGATTCCGTAAGGCTCCACCCAGAAGAACCATCCCATTTGGAGATCAAACCCACCCCTCTTCTCTCTTTTTAATACCTAACTTTTATATATATATATATATATATATATATATATATATATATATATATATATATATA